ATCGAGCAGCAGCTAAAGGAAGTGGCTGCAATTTTGCACTGCACAGTGAGAGAGAATTTGAGAAATGGCTGCTTAATGAGACCAAAGAAGGGGTTTAAGCTAAAAATGTCGGATATCAGGTTGAAATAATCAAAAAGCAAAGCAAAACGGAGAAAAATAAGTCGCAAAGATTGAGCGACAAGATTCCAATTCTTAGAACAAACAATTAGTTGGTAATTAAAAGGAAATTAGTGTGTGTAGGAAATGAAAGGGGATTAGTGAATGTCCCTGCTGGAAATCGTATATTTTAAAGCTATAAAAATCTGTGCATTACGTGTAGCACATGAAAACCTTATGCAAAAAATAACCTAGTTTTTAATCAACAGAAAACTATCCCCTCTACACATATTGTTCCCTTTTTGATTATAAAAAAAAATAGGGAACGTGTTAATCTTACAAATATAATATATAGCAGCAGCTGTTTATGTCAGGCTTCTAAAAACATCAGAGTCCCGTGTTGCCAAAAACAATTTCAATCTGCAAAACCGAAAGGAGCTGAAACCCATTTGGCAACAGATGTACACAGCACATAAAGGTCTGAAAACTCAACACTCTTCAAGTAACTTACATAATAAAAGACATCAGTTAAAATCAAGTCTGAAATAATGAAATATATGAAGTTCGTATGCTGCGCATCAGTAAGTGGTGAACAATGCGGCGTATACGCAATATTGAGTGGTACCCAAGGCATTCCTTCAAGCCGTTTTCGCCACTCAACTCGACTGGATAATGGCGATGATAATGCAACCAGAAATAGGAATAAAAAAGCTATAGAATCCTCTCCTACTTGAGTCCAGGTATGGCCGAGGAACTTGACATATGCCAAGGCAAGCAAAGGCAGTTGAGCAAAAATAAGTGGAGGTGGAATTCCAACGTGAAGGGAATTCCAGCCATGCCCACCACTTCACACAAAGCTGACTCAACTTTGACATTTCTCTACCTCGGACTTGCTCGAATTTTCCCTGCCGCTTTTCCCCATTTTCTCCCTGCACCCACGGCCATTTTCCTGGCAAACACAATGGAATGTCCACGGCATGCGGCAGTCAGATGTGTGGGCGTGGCGTTCAACTTGTTTTTGCCGCAAAATGATTTATGACAATGCATTGAAAACTTCTAGGCTGTCAACGAGGGAAGGGAAATGTCAATAAGGGAGCAGAGCTACTCCAGAGGCGAGAAATTTCTGGGCAGCAAAGTCCTAGAAGCACAGATGTACACAGTAAAAAATATACATATTTTATACATATTAATAAACCTTGGAAGTCTTGACCATATTTATAAAAACTTTTTCACTTTTCTAAGTTATCTCCTAAATTATATTTTGTCCTCCACTAAATAATAGTGGTATAAATTGTTTTGTACATTGCTACAATGAGGTAATGAGTTACCTTGAAATTGATTCAAAGTGTATTTTCTACGTTTTTCAATATATTAAACTGAGTGTTATTTCTTTTTACAAGCTACCCATTTTTATCTGATTTTCAATTTACACCTAGAGATTGTTTAATGCCTTGAATGTATAAGCAAACTGTCAGGGAAGCTGGCAGCCAAATGCCAATAAGTTGTCATGTTCCGACGACAGCTGCAGCCTCTCGCACATCCTTCCACATCCTTCCGCATCCACCCACAATATCTCTTCTGCCCGGGGCCACTTACACGTTCGCCGAGAATGGCCAAAGACTACGGGCTTCGTCTTTTGGGCCACATCTACCCACATTATTCAGGGATGCAGTGGCTGGAGTGGGTGGGTGGCTGGTTGGGTGGCAAAGGGGGTTTCGTCCTGACGCCTGAGCACGTCCCTCGAATGTCACAAGACGCTGCACACGCTGACACATTAATGTCCGCAGCGAAACACCCAGACGCACCTGTACCGAAGCACCTACCGCCGCCGCAGCGAAAAACCCTCAAAACTATACCACCATTTCCGCTGCCATAGCCGCCATTGTCGTATTTGTCTTATGAACTGTCAAACTGACATTCATTGACGCTTGACATGTAATAAACGCAACGAAATAAAATGAAATGGAATGGTCGAGATGGCGAGGGCTAAATAACGATGAAGGGCAGCCACCTTCCTCACCGGAAATATAATTTTTCAAACCATTTTATGATTCTCCACTTCCCACACCTACATGCATCATGATTTTATTTATTAAAGAAAGTTAATTAAATTTATGACCCCGAAAAAATGGCGTGCAATTTTTACCAACCGTTAGGAATGAAAATATGTATAAAGCATATTCAATGAGTTTAAATTTTAGTGATGGTGAAATATTTAATATAAAAGATTGGGAATGCAACCACTGAAAAGACTAATTGAATGCCTTTTTATTGCAACATATTATTTTTGTTTTCAAGTAGAACAATATGAAAATTAAATACAATTTTATAAAATTACTAACGCTATGCCTTTTTCTGATAAAATGTAGTTAATCAAACTATGGTTTGACAAAAAATATGAAATATATTTCTGAGAAACTGGCTTCTATCCAGGTACTCTAATTTGAGGTAATTGTGAAATACAACTCAATCAGCGGGAGTGAAATTCCATTAGCAAAAACCATTCAAAATTCTAAGAATCCGGCTGGCATCCTCCAAAAACCGCCAAAGCTAACAAAGCATTTGAAATTATTTTCAGGTGGAGGGCACACGGAATTTGGATCAAGAGGCTGAGGTGGAGAAAGCTGGATAACAAATTCAGGTGGATGGCCATGGCAAACGTCGAGGCGAATTTTTGCACAATGCAAACATAATGAGTTTGGGGAAATGCAAATAATTCGCAATGGAAATCATTATTGGGCACTGAACCAGACGACAGCTCGAGCGGTTTGAAAACGGGCAAGAAGGAAAGGTTTTGGCTCCAATCCACAGTGGTCATCATGGTGGCGGTTCCAAAGGAGGAGTTGAAGTTTATCCTGCTCACTTCGGCTGCACTGCCAAGACTTTTCCCCACGGGCTTTGATGCAGCACCGAAAATGGAAAATGAAAATGTTTAAGACCCAGTCCACTTTTGCAAATACACCGAAATATACAACAGTGAGATTTAATAAAAGTGTATATGATTTTATGAAAACTATATTCATGCTGAGAAGACTATATTATTATTATGAAATATATATTCTCACTAAGAACATTTTCTTACTATCTTATTTTCTTCTTGAAAGCAATTAGTTGCGAGTTCATTTTATTTGCGGGTTTTTCAATCAAAGAGTTATAACAAAATAAATTCGGATTCTAAAAAACCATTTTTTGAAATATGTAATTTAATTCTTTATTTTTAAATGTTTTAATTGATGAGTGGAATTAACTTTAAACTTTTTTTTATATATGACTATAAATTATATTATAGATAATTTTTATTAAAAGTAAAACATTTCAAAATTCGTTTTAAAATAGTGAAATAATAATGTTTTTTAGAAACAAAAAAAATAATACATGACGAAAAATATATGTTTTTCTTTGAGTGCAATAATAGGCAGTAATGGGCGGAGCAGCGAGTTGAGTGGGTGAGACCCAGGCGATAATCGTTAAGCGATTCTGCTTCCTTTTCGTTTGTTTAATGAAGTGTTTAAAATTTACGATTCGAGCTAAATTTATTGCACTCCGAGTAGATATCGAAGGGAAGTCCGTCCAGGCGGCCAGGCAACCTCCAACACGAAAAATGAAAAATCTCAGAGGGGTGGACTAGAAAAATAAGGAAAGAAATCCCCTTTGATGGCTGCTCGGGGAATCAATCTCACATGTACTCCAAAGGGGGTGTGGGTGGAAATGGAATCCTTGCTGATTGGATGACACGAAATAAAAACGTTGCACACAACGAAATTGTTAATAGCACTGTTCTTTCTCTCTCTATATATGTATATATATAAATACATGTATATAGATATATATTTACCCCAAAAACCTCTCGTTTGCTAAGCCAATTACGTGGATACCACACAGCGACAGGAACAACGAGAAGCAAAAACAAAAGGACAATAAAGGGCTCGCTCGTAAATGCCATCAAAGCAGCTTAGCTAAGCAGAGTGACTCCGACGAGGTTCCCCTGATGATGCTGATGGCTCCGTTACGTTACGTATACGCCGAGCTGGTTTTCAATAAACCGCATGGCGAAAATAGCAGCGGAAAATAAACCAAACTTGATGGCAGCACAAATTCTTTGCATACTTTTGCGGGCCCACTCAAGTGGCAAGCCACAAGAACAAACAACGAACAACCAACGACAGCACTTGATGAGCTTTCCAATTACATTTAGCTGTTGCCTGTTAACTGTCTCTTCTGTTGGCCGGATAAGGAATTAACTGCCGACCTCGTAAAAGCCAAAAACAAAAATGGCCCTCAACTGATTTCCACTGCTGACTTGGAGTGTGCACAATAAAAATTATCATAAGTTTGCCATCCCATGTGAGTGCCCGCCGCCATCGACAACTGCAAACGCAATTTGTATAATGAAAGTCGGGGGTTTTCCGTTGTGGTCTCGTCTGAGCTCTTAGACCAGATCAAATCTGTCAGCAGGTGAGTCAATTGATGAAAGGAGGGGCTAATGAAAGGTTGGCTAAGTGCAGGAATAAGTGATTTGTGTGGAGGAAAAACGTTTGCGTTCGTACTGCAAGAGATTATTTTACAGAGTTTCCCTGCATTTAATAGTTGGAAAGTTTAAGCTTGCTCTGCATAAAAAGTATAAGCCATAGGTATTTTTTAACATAATCGTTGGGGATTTTAACTTTTCAATTACAATTTTTTATTAGAATTTTAATATTTGTAGCAATTTGTCCGATTTCAGTTTGGCACGTAAACTAAATGAAACCCTTTAAAAATATATTTAAATTCTAGCCAAAGATTCCTTTAATATACATTGAGTTGCACAACTTAAATATACCTGATCAACTTTTTTAAATGTAATATTTTCAATAAGTCAGCCGTTGTAGGTTTTATATTATTCCTAGTAACCTGCCTGTCAGCATCCTAGGAACCCTTCTCATTAGTAGTTGCCAACACCAGGCAAGCAAACGATTGGATCTCGTAAAATTATTTGTAATAATATAGTAAAATTTCGAAATCTTTGTGAAATGGCCAATCGGTTGAAAGCAGGAGCATGCTGCCGACCAGGTTGTCCCCCTGCATGTTCACCTTGCTGCCCGCCTTGTGCTCCACCGTAAGTATAGCACTTTCCGTGTATATATATTTGCCGTTCTTTAAATAATTTTACAGTCTGGTGCGCCTGAAAAAACTGTGGCCCGAGCCCTACAATCCCTGCTCCTTCAAGAATTGCCTGATCTTCGGCGGCCACGATGAACCCTATGTCCAGCCCTTCGATCCGAAAGCATGTGCGCGAATGCGTCGTAACGATATCGACCGTTCGTTGGGATATCCCATAGGCGTAGTCTGCGGTACAATTATTGTAAAGGGGGGTATTCCGAATCAGGAGAGCGTTCGGTTTGCTGGAAATCTTAAGGGATTCGCCCACTCCTACTACACACGGCGCGATGAGTGGAACCCGGAGACAATTGACATGATAGCGAACGAGGCTCAGGTGTTGTACAATGATTCCGAAAACATGGATCCTCCCAATATGGTTGAATCTCCGGATATCTATGACGAAAATGAACGCAGGGTGACACGTCATTTTATGATCAACGATATTGAATTTGCCATGGAGTTGGAGGCTCCCTTCGAGATCTACGGTTACCCAAACGTAATACAAAATCTTCGGAGGATCTTGAGAGCCTTCTTCAAAAAGGCAAAATACGGAGTTTTCTTCACACCCAACTGGTACCTACTGATCTGGAAGGAGAAAGGTGTATGGATGGTGTTGGATCTTAATGGCAGGGACAAGAACACCATGAAACCAAATTATGAGGAGGGTTATCCCTTGCTACTGGGCCTCAAGTCCTTCGACAATGTTATCTGGCTGATCAAGAAGGAAAGCGATCTGGAAAAGACCAATAGGTTTTCGATCAGGGAGATCATCGTGGTGCGAATGGCCACTCCTGGAAACACGGGTCAGAGTTGGGAGCGGGAGCATGGTATGCGGATGAGCCAGTTCGATGTGATTGCCTCGGATTATGCCTATGTGAAGTCTAACCTTCATCTCACTCTGAACTCAAAGGATGCCCTGAGGAATCGCAGTGCTCTGCCAGTGGCTGTGGCCACCGCTTTGGCCTCCAAAATCGATCATCCGGCCACTTGGGACATGAAGATGTACGACAAGGTCATGTGTTATGGCGTTAATATGTGCAAAAACTGCTGGGAGCCTTGCGTTGATCTTAATCTACCCATGGATCTGGATGATTTTCCACGACAGATCCGAATGGGTCAGTTTGTGGCCGAAATCATGCTCAGTCCAAATGTTTACGAGGGCTGGTGGAAGTGCGTGCCGATGTACAAGTTCAACGACTTTCATCTGATGCTGGAGAAAGCTCTCGATAATAACGATTATGTGATCTTTCAGATCAACAATCAGATGTATTCACTGTGGAAGAAGTCGGAATTCATCTATCTAATGGATCCGTATCGCCACAACATTGTGGGTCGTATTTTGGAGGAGGGCGAAGATCCGAAAAGTGCCACGGTTAGGATGTTTGGAAATATGGATCGTCTGTTGAGTGTATTTCATCAGATTCTTTTGGAATCGAACCGATCGGCTATGTTCCATATACATACGCTCAGAATAAGAAATATAACAGAATGTCCACCTGGCACGGCTCCTGCCCTACTTCCTCCCGATGAGGATGTGGAGGTTAGATCGCTCAATGAGAACATTCGCTTCGATGAGAACTACGACAAGTGTCTGCAAGAACTGGGCGAGATCAGCGACTTCGAGGAGGATCTGGTCTCGGAGATCGAACCCATTGTGGAGGTCAGCTCCTCGGAGGAGATGGTCGAGGAGGAGGAGGGCGGCGGAGGCGGTGAAGTTGAAGGAGGCGAGGGAGAAGACGATGATGACTAGCTCTAACAACTTTTTCCGGACTGAGCCAACATTCCCATATATATTATGCATTTTTATTTAACCAAAAGTAGCTTACATTACTGGATTAACGATTTAAATATTTCATCAATTGATCAAGTGTAAAAAATGAATATATAAATTATAAGTTGAACACTAAAAGGTGTTTTCTTTAATTTGCGATCGCCCTTATTGAATTTAAAGCACTTGGTTAACAAGAAAATAATTATTTATGGCATCTGTGAATAAATAGCTTTTCCCAAATTATAAAATAGTCGCATTACATTGAATTCTTATATTTGCAGTGCTGAAAGAACTGATTCAGTGGCATCAATTTGCCATTTACAGCTTTTCCATATCCATGTCTCGACATGTTATCCTTCCTTCAGGGTTTTCCTTCTTTTTTTTAACAAGCTCGACAAGAGGAAAATGTGTGTGAGGAAAACCGAGAGCAGCGAGCTAGTGTGAGGGAGCGCGTAAAACATTTTGAATTAAATGTCACGTTGTCGGTGCAAAGTCGCTTGTTCAGCGACACAACGACAACAAGAGGATCTCTGGCTAAAATAGTCGTAGGACGTCGCTCCTTGAAGCGGTGGCCCCTCTGTGTTATTGCCACCTCTCGACAAGCGATGGGCGTCGATGGGCGTGGTCCGTGTGTGTCATTAAAAACAGCACAGGTAACAAACGCAAAAAAAAAATCGCTACGGAATGCTGTTGCCGGCGGCCTGCTGAGGAGCCTTACCATTTTCCCATTTTCCCAGGAAAAAAAAAACAGAACACACTCTCGGGCATCAGTCACTTAGACAGCAGGTTACCTGTGCCACCACGCCAGCTCTTTCTCTCACCTGTGCTTATTTGCATGGCTGACAACATTGTTGTTGCACCCGAAGACATTTCTGTCTTTATTTTCGTTCGAGCGCTGGATTCTCAAACAGCGACATTTCACAAAAGTCGACAGCGCGAAATTAATGGAAATTTAAAAATTGCATTTTTCGACAACAGAGCGAGGTGAACGAAGGAAAGGAAGGGACTGACATTGTGGTCTCGCCTGTCGCTGAGAGATAATAGAGACGACAGGTTGAGTTAAATGGTTTTCAAGTTTCGCTTTCAGGCTTAAAATTCCACCTTTGAATGCTAAAAATCTCTGACTTAAATTCTTTATTTTACCTTGAACCATTAACCGTTATTTATTAATTAAGTATTCGGCTTACCTGCAACGACAAAAAAAAGAAGAGAAATAGGTTAGTTCTTTTTTATTATGCACATTTCATATATTTATTATAATAAATTGCATTCACTCAAATACAATTAAAATTTCATCAACTGAACAATCAAAGCGGACAAAAAGTGGGTTCTGCTTTGTGGGCTGTTTGAATTTTTTCGCTGTTTGCTGATTGCATTAATTTTTAATTTTGCGTGTAAATATCCACGCCAACTGCGACTCTGCAGCAAATTGTTGGCGCAATTAATTTGTCGTTTTACGCGTGCCACGCCCCCTGCTCAGCTGCGGTAATTAAACTGCGTCTGCCACGCCCCCCGGCCGCCCACACGGTGTCATATGTCAACGACAGTCGAACAAACAAACTATGCAAAACAAAATGAAACCTAGAAAGAAACAAACAAAACAAAAAACAAAGTATAGCAGTGGACACAGGACACTGCAGTGAAAACATTGAGGGGGGTTTATCGCAATTTTCCTGCTAAGTGCACATGATAAATTAATGATTGAAGGCTCGTGGGTGTGTGTGTGTGTTTGAGCCTGCAAATCGAAGGGCGACGTCGTCTATGACAAAGTGATTAATTGTCAGACTGCGCCAAAAGGGAGGGCGGGGAAAATGGGGAGGGTGTGGTAACTGGAGCAGGCATATATTTCCATCGACCAATCACAGGTAATTTGTGCACTTTCTGACGTGGCTCGTCCCAAGAAACCTGGCCATGTAAATAAATCTCGGGCTTAACACTCACCTTTACCTGTTAAGTGGTTCGGCGTGTGAATTAGCCCCCCATTTCGTTCCCCCTTTTTGGCTGCCACAAAGTCAAAGCAGACGTCGTTAGAGCCCACATATGAGAACTTCTGACTAATTGGTTGGCCAACTTTTGTGCCTAGCATGTGGGGTTGAAAATATTAAGCTCAATTTTGTGGGCGATTCTGGGTTTAAATGAGCTTCAAATGAAAACTAAATAGCTCTTGTGGGTGGAAGAATTTGTAATCGTTTATAAAAGAAATTACGTATACGCAGTGTCGCAGTAATAAATATCTTTAAAAAAAATTACTACAAAATTAGAGGGAAAAGCAAAAAATGTGATGGATTGTTTTTTAATATTGTTTGATCAAAAAATGGACCAGCCCATAGTGTCGTAAATTGAATACAAAAATTCAATGAAATGTAAAATGGATTTATTTTTCTATTAAATATAATTTAATAGAATTAATTTTTTATGAACATAAATTAGTTAAGTAGGCATTAGTATTATAAGCTTATTAAAGCTTAAAAAACGAAGTATGTACTTGATCCTAACGGTCTATTAAATATTTAAATATAGTAAACATTAAACTGACAAAATCCAGGACTCCAAAAATTGTAAAAATAAATTTACATTAACTGACAATGACAATAACTATGTGTAAACAAAGGCTTCATGCGAATAACTTCCTCAGCAACTGTTAAAACTTTGACAGCAAACAACAAGAGAAGACATTAAAACAAAAAAATAACATAAACTTTGCGATTTGCCATCCAAATCAAAGTGCGGCAAGAAAAGTTTAAAGCCACCCAACCCGAGAGAAAAGAATTAATGCTTGATTTCTTTGCAATTTGCAACTAATCCAATCTCAAACTTAATTAAGCAATTAGTATTTCTTTCAAAAAAAAAAATATTTGAACAATTAAAAATAAATATTTTAATAAAATAAAAATAGCTTTAATATATAGTTTAAGCTAGGTTCTTAGAAAATCTCAGAGTGTATGAAAGCATACCAAATAAAAATGATTAAATCCATTTAAATGTATCGACATGAAAAAAGTGAAAACAATAGCATCATGCTCCATTAGATAGGATGTTGCCTGAAGCAGAAATGCATTTTAAATAAATTGTATTCTTCTGCAATAAATTCTTGTTCGGTTTGATTTAAAGCTGAACAATCCATTGTTTTTTATTTCTATTAAAAATAGGAAATCCAGCTAATATGCAAATATTAGCTTTAACCTGCATGCGGGAATAAAACAAATATTCCCAAGAGTTGCATAGATAAAACAAAACATGGGAGAGAATAAAAAAAGGGGAGAAAACAAAGAAGGAATAATAACGAGCTTTATGAGAAGGATTTGCATATATGCAAGTGTGTTTGGTGTTTGCATGTGGGAGAAAATAGCCACAACAACTGCAATTGCAGCTAAAAGAAAAACTCTGTTTCTTTTTTTATTTTGTGAACCACCACTTCACTCGCAACAATAACAAGGAGCCGTCAGACGATTGTCCTTTGGCCATGGGCATCATCCTCCCGAGTCCTTTGGCATGTTGGCTATGTAGAACCCTGTCCGCAAAAAAGCATTTCCACAATCCACTGTCCCTGCACAGTTAACGGTATTTGCATGTAATTAAATTTTCCACTCGGCAACTGCAAACTGCAGCTGCTTTCTCCTATTTGCACAGTACTGTATAAAAAGTGGAGGTCGGCTTTTGTGGGAGGATGTAGGTGATTCTATTGCCCCATGCAACGATTTTATCCCTCTTTTTTTTTGATCAGAAGGTGACCTCATCATGTTGGCCAGAAGTTCGCCGTTAAGTTTGTAATGGCCACAAAGTGATGCCAAATGACCAGGGACCAGAGAAATGGAAACAGGACATGGAAAATGCTAATGTGTGAATTGCCTTGAATCGATGTTCACAGCTGCACAGGCTGAAAATTAAAGACTTAAAGAAGATGGTTTTACTGAGCTAATAAATTATTTCAAATTTTCAAGTATATATGGCTCATATAAATTTCATTTATATTTCATAAATTAAAGAATTTTAGTTTTATTTGATATGAGAATGGTAAATAAAGATTTTATGAATACATTAATATGAAACTGTTTCTCCGCTTTGTATTCCACGGTGTATGTGAGCTCATTGCCAGTGACGCTCTTCTCACTGACCTTTGACCCTCAATCGTGCGAAATACAATTTTCAATTATCGAAAGATCTCTGCAATTTTCCTGCCACCCCACAAACAAATGCAAATCAATTTCCCGGCAAGGAGCCAGGCAATCAACTCTGGCAAAGGAGAGCGAACGAAACAATGCCAGAAAAAACAGCCAATAAAAATAAGCCAAAAATATAAACAACAATTGGCTAGAGGCAACCGCAAAAGCAAAAACATTCCACATGCGAGCGGAATCAGAAAGGGGGCGTGAAAGGGGGAGCTAGATTGGAGCACAGTAAACATTTGGCCATTTTGGCGAATGAACTTTTTATGAGGCCAGGCCAAAAAGGAGCAGTGTGGCAGAAGCCAGCTGAAAGCTAATCCCAGCTAAACAATTTTCTTGGCCACACCAATTTAATGCTGCTTGCTCAGCGGTGGGCGGGATAAAACGGAATGAGCTGAATCGAATTCAATTCCAACAAAACACTCGATATAAAGCAAAAATTTCTATTAGACCAAATTGTTGCCTGCGCATAATAAAAGTCAAAGAAGAGGAAAACAATGGGGAAAATTATTAGTGGCAAATGAATACTCTTGTTGTGCATAACGAAAAATCACAGGGAAAGCTGCCAAAAGTCACAGATGGTTAGCAGACAAACAAGTAAATAAATGCTATGAAAAAAGTTGATTTGAAATCCATAGCATCTATTTTGTTACAAAAGATATTTGCATTAAATTCTTATTTCCAATATTCAAAATTCGATTGATAGCTATTAATAGGCAAGCGTTTTACATTAACTTAAATTTAATACAAGAACATGTCACTTTAGTTAGTAGGTAATAATTAATTAAATTAATCAGGTCTCTTTATTGGAATGAGATTATAGGTGTTTTTCTATTAACGTATACCTCTATTGGGCTATAAAACTGAATATTTTAAAATTATTTATTTTCAGTATCCCAACCATGTTACTCTTTTTGATTAGAGTATAGGAAGTTTGCTGAACTAAATCAGTGAGTGGCAGCTGGCTCCTTACCAAGACAGACAAA